AATGCAGTATAAAATTTTGCATGATGTTCAGGAATTGGTAAAACAAAGAAAAGTTGACAGAAAAGAAGAAAAAATACGGAGTATAATGGAAGAAAAAAACTTGTATTAAACAAGAAACTTTGAGAAAGTGATGATCTTTCCTTCAGATTACAATACTTATTTATAGCACAAATCTAACTAATTTTCCACAAAATTCTCCACTATTGATTTTACTCACCAAAAGAATAGAAACAAACTCTGAACAAGTCTCAAAGAAGATTTGCTAACTTATTGACTAAATAAAGTGGCAATAAACTAAATAAAACAAATTTAATTTAATGTGCAGTAAGCTGCACTAATTTTTGACACTCCCCCTTAGTGCAAGCTTACTATCAACAACTCCTAGAGCATCTCGAAATGACAGGAACTTAGGCTTCATCAAAGCCTTTGTGAATATATCAGCAACTTGAGCGTCGGTATGAACACTAGTTAGCTCAATTTCTTTAGTCAAGACCTTCTCACGAATAAAATGATGACGGACTTCAATATGCTTTGTTCTTGCGTCAAATACTGGATTCGAGGCTAACTTACTGCACTCTCATTGTCACACTTGATTTGCACAGCATAATCAACTTGGTGTAACATATCTACAACCAACTTTTCAACCAAACACATTCTTGTGCAGCCATGGTTGCTGCCACATATTCTGCTTTTATGCTAGATAGAGCCACAACATCCTGCTTCTTGCTACTCTAAGAAATCACTGTTGAACCACTGTTAAAACAATAGCTTGAGGTTGAGTGATGATCATTTGCATCCCCTGCCCAATCTGCGTCAAGAAATCCACTTAATAAAAATTTTTCACATCTCTTGTACCAAAGCCCATGATTAAAAGACCATTTGACATAACACAATATCCTTTTTGCAGCATCTAAATGAGTAGTTCTTGGATTCTGCATAAATTGAGAAACAACAGACACAGAGTATGGAATTTTTGGTCTTGTGATGGTTAAGTAAATTAGACACCCAAAAAGTTGCCAAAATTTCTTGGCATCTTTCGATGGCTTCCCATGAACTTTTTGTAACTTAACATTGGGTTCCATTAGAGTAGCCATTTCCTTTAACTCCCCTACGCTGAAACACTCCAAAAGACTCTTTGCATATCCTTTTTGAGAAACAAAATAATCCAGGTCTGATTTTTCCACTTCTAAAGCAAGAAAACATCCAATTTTCCCTAGATATTTCATCTCAAAATGAATAGACAAGTCATTTCTCAAGTTAGAAAGGTCTGATTTTTCCACTTCTAAAGCAAGAAAACATCCAATTTTCCCTAGATATTTCATCTCAAAATGAATAGACAAGTCATTTCTCAAGTTAGAAATATCAGTTTCATTATCTCTAGTTATAATTATATCATCAACGTATAATGATGCTAGGAGATGTACATTTGATTCTAATTTATAAATAAACTAGAATCTGAATCTGAAACTCTAAAAGCAAAAAAGATGAGATATTGAGAAATTTTACCATACCACGCTCTTAGCGCTTGCTTTAAGCCATAGAGCGCTTTCTTCAAACAACACACATAATTTGGAAATTGTTTAGACACAAAACCAACACGCTGCTCGATAAACACTTCACGATCCAAATCACCATAAAGAAATGCATTCTTACGTCAAACTGCCACAGTTTCCAACCTTTAAATGCAGCAAGAGAAATAGTGTCCTCACCGTTGTCATCTTTGCAACCGGGCTGAATGTCTCCTCATAATCCAACCCATAATTTTGAGAGAAACTTAATACAAGTTTTTTTCTTCCATTATACTCTGTTTTTTTTCTTCTTTTCTATCAAGTTTAATAGAGCATGTACTGAATTTGTCAACAAGCTTTAAATTTGTCAACGGTGCCATCCAATTTTTTTTTTAACCAAAAAACCCATTTGCATGTGATTGGCTCACATTTCTCTGGTTTAGGAACCAATTCCCAAGTCTCATTCTTGTGTAGAGCTTCAATCTCTTCTTACATTGCTTTTTGCCAATTAGGACAGCTTTTTGCTTCATCATAACTTGCTGGTTCTTCTGAAGTTAAAGCCCCTGTAAAAAAACATGAAGTACCAGAACAATTATTAAGTTCCACCTCATAATCTTTGAGGTAATTTGGATGTCTTTTCTCCCTCCTCGATCTTCTTACCACCTGTTGCTCACTAATGTCTCCTTCAATATCATTTTGAGCTAGGGGTTCATTCTCTATTTCTTCATTAAAAGGTGCCTGAACAATTTCTTCAGGAAATAGATGCTCCAAATTAACATGATCATCATCAAGAACAGCCTTTTGAACAGAAAATAAAGATGACATTTCATCAAAGACCACATCTCTAGAAGTAGTAAATTTCTTTGTTTGTGGATCCATACACCTCCAACCTTTCCTATGAGAGTCATAGCCAACAAACACGCATTTTCTTGCTTTTGGGTCAAGTTTGGTTCTATTAGTTTTGGGAACATGGACATAACAAATGGAACCAAATACCTGAAAGTAATTTACATTTGGCTTCTCACCATATACAACCTCAAAGGAAGATTTTTGTGTACCTGGCCAAGAAGGCAACCTATTAGCTACATGACATGCACATTGAATAGCTTCTGCCCATAGCTCTTGAGGAAGGTTTTTGTCATGCAGTCATGAAAGACAAATTGAAGTAAGATAGCCAAGCTTCCTTTTGGTAACTCCGTTCTGTTGAGGATTGTCCGGACAGGTCATTTGCCGAAGAATACTGTTGTTGTGACAATATTGAAAGAAATCATCCGACATGAACTCCCGACCATTGTCACTCCGAAGACATTTTATTTTCTTCCCAAATTCTTTTTCAACAGTCTCTTTGAACTCCATAAGCTTAGATAGAGCTTCACTTTTCTCCTTCAAAAATTTCACCCAAGTGAATCTTGAGTAGTCATCCACCAACACCATAACATAACGATGTCCACTGTAACTTGATGTTCTCGTTGGTCCCATCAAATCCATATGGACCAGCTTAAATAACGAAGATCTATGATTTGACGTCCTCTTGAAGGGAAAACGATGAGATTTGCCATATTGGCAACCTTGACAAATTACATCTTCATGAACATTCTTTAGAGCTGGCAAACCATCTACTAGCCTGTGTGAAGAGATTTGCTGTAACAATTGATAGCCTACATGACCCAACCGAGCATGCCAAATTGCAGCATTATCAGTTTGGCTTATTTTCTTCACATAAGCTTCTCCTGCCGATAAGACAAACAAATGCCCTTTCTTTTCTCCAGTAAAAAAAACATCAGCTAATATTTATTTCACATTGTCAAGAACTTTTACATCTTTTGGGCCAAACAAGATATACTTTCCAGAATCAGTAATTTGAGGGACAGAAACCAAGTTTTTAGTCAAACCTAGAACGTGATAAACATAATCCAGCTTTACATCTTTCGTACCGGCAATGTCAATTATCACAGCCCCTTCGTTTGCTACTAGATGAGTAGAATCATCGGCCGTGACAATAACCCGATCTCCATGGTGTTCCTACATCTTTGAGAACAAGGTGTCATTGCCTGTAACATGGTTAGAACAACCAGAATCTATGATCCACTCTTCCTTCTGTTTATTGGCATAATTAACAAAAGTTTGAGTTGGCTTCATTCAATAGCCTCAACAGAAAAGCAGTGTTCCTATTTGAGTTGATCATGTTCTCCACTTGTGGATGCAGCATTGGCCTTGACAAGCTTCACCCTACAATCTTTCCTAATATGCCCAGGCTTTCCACATCTGTAGCATGTGACATATTTCTTTTCTTGTGAATTTACACCTTTTTCTTCATTTGAATCACCTTTTCCTGCACGTTCTTCTTTGGTATTTTTGTTCCTAGATGAATTCTTATTTCGCTTTCCTTTTGAAAAAAGAACAGCATCTGACTTAAAACTGTTTGCCATTTGCTTTGCAAGAGCTTCTTGATTAGAGAGCGAATTCTCTAATTCTTCAACAGAAGGTTGTTGTGACCATTCTTGTATAGAAGTAATAAAAGGCCCATACTCCTTCTTCAAGCCACTAATAAGAAAGCGACGTAGATGGGATTCGCTAATTTTCTCATCCTCATCTATTTCTGAAATTTCAGCACAAATATTTTTAACTCGCAAAAAATATTCTGAAATTGACTTACTTCCTTGTTTTAACATTGCCAATTCATTTTCCAAGAGTTGTAGCCTTGCTGTATTCTTTTTGGTAAACACCTTTTCAAGTGTTTCCCAAACTTTTCTTGGAGAATTTACATCACGAACGTGATCAATGTGCTCTTTGCTGATTGATGTTCTCAAAGCATAGAGAGCCTTCCCACACTTGATCTTCCACTTCCGTCGTAATTCGGCATTCTCAGGAATTTCTACATGAATTTCAGTATCAGTACCAGCCACTAATTCCTACAAATCCTATCCTTGAAAGTACGCCTCCATACACATTCTCCAGTACTTGTAATTGCTGCCTGCAAGTTTCTCCATCCCATATTGTGTATTTCCATTGTTTGCCATCTCCATCATTGCAAACAACAAAACTTTTCTTTATCCACTCAAACGAAGATGAATAGCCAGACTCTGATACCATAAAACAAAGAAAACTTGATAGAAATGAAGAAAAAAATACAATGTATAATGGAAGAAAAATTTGTATTAAATAAGAAACTTTGAGAAAATGATGATCTTTCCTTCAGATTACAATACTTATTTACAGCACAAATTTAACTAATTTTTCACAAAATTCTCCACTACTGATTTTACTTACCAAAAGAATAGAAACAAACTTTGAACGAGTCTCATAGAAGATTAGCTAACTTATTGACTAAATAAAGTGGTAATAAGCTAAATAAACAAATTTAATTTAACGTGCAGTAAGTGCACTAATTTTTGACAATTGGGGCCTATTCTGCTAAGGCATAGCTTATGACAGAGTTGTCCTCTAGCGCCATATTTATTTATTTTATGTTTGGATGGGCTATCACTATTGTTACAAAATCGGGAATGTAGGGGTCTTATTTACGGTTGTTGTATTTCCAGAGGTGCTCCATCTGTTAACCATTTATTCTTCGCATATGATAGTGTGTTATTTTTTAATGCAAATGAAGGAGAAAGTACACAGATAAAAGAGTGTCTCAAGGTATGTAGAAAAGCTTCTGGCCAGACAATCAATTTGGAAAAATCTTCGCTCGCTTTTAGTGCAAATACGGCTCCATCTATGAAGCTTGGGTTAGCAATGTGTTCCAGGTTGGAGAGACTTCTGATCTGGGGTTTTATTTGGGCTTCTAGCAATGGTGTGACAAAATAAAGGGGAGGTTTTTAATTTTTTGAGGGAGAAAATTTGGAAACGCCTTTAAAGTTGGAAAAAGCTTCTACTATCGAGAGCAGGGGAGGAGCTTCTTCTCAAGTCAGTGATTCAATCAATTCCAACCTACACCATGAGCGTTTTTTTGCTCCCTAAGAACTTCTGCCAATAACTTCAGCGCCTTATGAATGGGTTCTGGTGGAGACAATAGTCTAACCAAAATGGTGGAATAAAGTGGAGGAATTGGGAACCGATGTGTTGTTCTAAAATTAGAGGGGGTTAGAAGGCTACATGAGTTTAATATTTCTTTATTAGGGAAGCAGCTATGGCGCTTCCTAAAGTATCCAGACTCATTAGTGTTTAGGTTATATAAAGCCCACTATTTTCCTACTTCCTCTCTATTTGCTGCAGAAGCTGGCTCTAACCCCAATTTTATTTGGAGCAGTGTGCAAGCGACTATCGCCTTAATTCAGGCTGGGATTCGGTTGAGGCTGGGTGGGGGCGAAGCAATATCAATCTGGGATGACCTATGGCTACCAGATAATGCAAATCCACGAGTAAGCTCTCTTATTCCTCCCAATTATGAATTCCATTTTGTGTTTTCGCTTATTGATGAGAATGGTTTAAGTTGGAGAAGCGATGTTATTAAACGCATGTTTAATGCTCGGGATAAAAATCTCATTTTGGGGATTGCCCTTAGCTTATGTAGAAGGGTCGATGATTGGGTGTAGAATTTTAATTGAAGCGAAGATTATTTGGTGAAGAGTGGGTACAAGTTCTTGACCGTTGAGTTTGATTCTTTATCCCCAGATTCGATGCGTCCACTTTGGGCCCGATTATGGAATTTAAAGATTCCACCAAAAATCAAAAACTTGGTTTGGTGGATCTGTAACGGTTTCGTCCCAGTAACGATGCATTTGTTGGCTCGTGGTCTGGAAATCGAGTTTATACGTCCCGTCTGTGGGCAGACAGATGAGTTCTTGTTACGTGTTTTTGCTGACTGTGGGTTTGCCAGGGGTTGCTGGACTAGAACTTTACCAGGTATGTTAGCAATTTTGGATCAAGGCCTCTTTTCGTCTATAAATGATTGGCTCTTGAATGTATTCCTTGCTTATTCCCTAGATGAAATTCAAGCTGTCTGCATGTCATTATGGGTCATATGCCAGCACCGAAACTCTGTTCTTTGGCAAGGAGAAGACTTGCCCTTGGATCAATTGTTATTCGCAATCAATGGTTGGTTCTGTGAGTGGAAATCAGCACAACTCTCCCAACAAATTTGTCCTTCAATTGTGCTAGGTATGATTTCTTCGTCTAAACCCCCACATGGCTTTACCAAATGCAATGTGGATGCATCATTGCATGCATCATCTCTTATGGTGGGTGTTCGATAGGTATTGCGCAATGATCGAGGTGAGGTCCTAAACTCTTTTCAAATGTCCCTTAGTGGTGGTGTTGATCCTCCAACGGCAGAAGCACTCTCATTCTGTGAAGCCTTGAGTTGGGTCAAATGGAAAAATTTGCACAATGTAATGTTTGAGTGTGATTGTTTACAACTGATTCAAGCCCTTTCAAAGACTGAATTAGATGGAAATTATTTTGGCAGTATAGTGTTGGATTACAAATCTTTACTAAAAGAACTTATAAATTGTTGGTTCTTAGAAGGTCAGCGAATAGAATTGCTCATCTACTTGCAACTTCTGCCTATTCTTTGTCTGACTTCCAGGAGTGAGGTCTTGTTCCTCCTGATGTATTATTCATGCTTTTGGATGATCTTAGTTTATAAAATAATTATATAGTTCAATTCATAAAGTATTTTAAGCTATAATTGACTCATATATATGAATTTTATATATAAATACCATATATATCTTACAATGCTATGTATGAATTTTAGAGAGCAATTTGAATATAAATTTAGCATATATTATAGTCACCTATGCTAATAATATTGGATAAAAATGCACATAACATACATGTTTATAAGATATTTCAAAATTATAATATAATTATTGTAATTAGAACATTTATTCAATAGTATAATTCATTTTTAAAAATACATAAGCAATCGATAAAACTCAACTTGATTTTTCTGAACTGCAGAATAATATTATTCATGAGGAATTTTTCTTTTCTTTTTTTAATTTTTTCGCTAGATAATATATAATATAGAAACTTTCATATTATAAATTAATTAAGAATTTAAATTTTATTTATTTAACTTATAATCGATAACATAATTTAGTTTTGTAAATTTATTATGTACAGATAGTGAAGAAAAAGACTGCTTGAATTGAAAAATTTATTGATTTACTGATCTATATTTTATTGCTAGATGAATTTAGTTAATCATCAATGTTTTTAAAAATTAATTAGATATCGTACTTGCTTCATGATTAGATTGCATTTAGACCATATTTTTTACTTTGTATTTTTTTATAATTATTTATAAAAAAATTAGTAAAATATAGCCATAAATAATTTCACAATGAAAAAGTAATAATATAATTTGTATAAGTGTATGATTATTTTCAAACCATTCATCATGAAATATTAATCTATAGTAAAAAAAGCTCAGGAAGAAAATATGAGCTCTCCACTCTGTGAGACTTCGTTGTGACCTGACTGGAGTAGAGAAGAAAACAACCAAATTCAATAGGGCACTAAAAAGGTTTGAACTTGTGAGGAGAGTGACATGAACGTTAATTTGGAGAATGTTGATGTTCAGTCTAAATCTTTTAAAGGTACTTTGATGCATACTAGCGGTTAAGAGAGTAGTAAGCAAAATGACCAATATGTTGATAATAGCGATTTTGAATAAGAACCTGACAGTGAGGATGATGATGCAAATGAGGATCCAGGATGTCCCAATATTCACCTTTCAAAATAAGAGAAATCACATTTGCGTAGGCCGTGGAAAAGTACTCTTATCATTGAACTTCTAGGTCGAACTATTGGCTATACTTACCTAGTTAAACGACATCCCATTGATGTTATTGCTTTAGAGAATGAATTTTCTCTTGTAAAATTTTATTCAGATTATGATACCAATTTTATGGTACCAATTTTTAATGAAAGTTGGTAGCATTATTGGCAAACCTATTCGAGTTGACACTAATACCAGCTTGGTTAGTAGAGGATGATTTGCCCATATGTGTGTGGAAGTTGATTTTTCCAAGCCTTTGGTCTCAAAATGCAGACTCTATCATAGAATTAGTCGGAGTGAGTACAAAGGGATTCATCTTGTGTGTTTTTTATGTGGTTGCTATGGACATCAATCAGAAAGTTGTTTTTTCGGTGATTAGGAGACTGTGGAATAAGGGCAGCAAGAGGGGTTGACGTAAGATAAAGGGATTCTGGCAATCACATCCCTAAAAAATCAGCTAATTAGCCAAACTGTCATAGATCCCTTTGGTGAATGGATTATTATTACTAAAAGGAGTAAATGTAGACAAACCAAATTGGCTTCTAAAGTTAATAATAAGTTAGAAGGGACTAACCTAACGGTAGAATATCTCGCATTAATGAGAAACAATCTGGATCACGATTTACTGCATTAAGTGGATTAGAGGATATGAATGAGGATATAATTTATGGGTCGGGTTTGAATTTGATTACAACTAATAAGATGACTCATAATTTAGCTAATACTTCTAGGTCCAACCTGACTCTTTTAAGAAACATGGGCAACATTGCAAAAGTGGTTTGTAAGAGAAAAAGGCTAAACAGGCTGCCATAGAGAATTTAGCTATTTATGAGAATATTTCTAAGGGCCAAATTTATCTTTTTCTATTAGTGATTTGCAGAAAGGTTGTAGCAGCTAATGAACATATGGTGGTTATTGGTAGTTTGGACAATATTGAAGGGACTCGTATGGTGATAATAAAAAAGGATGAAAATACTTTATTAGGGTGTTTTATGGATCATACGTCTCATTTGGCTCATAACATCCATTGCACGGTCCCAAAAGAATAGGTAATGGATGGCACATTCGATGTCAAGAGGCACCATACTAAGTGACAAAATTTAAAAATTCAACTAAAGATATGGATTAGATATGTTTTAAGTATCATAGGTCTAGTAAGTCTATAATTTTACCTAGAAAATGGTTTGGGAAAATCCTATGGAAAAATTGGACTTAACCAAAAGTTGTGAAAATAAGAAACACTTCTAAAACACAGTTCCAACATCCTCCACTTCGATTCTCAAATCATTATCATCATAACTCCATAATCATGTCACAATCAACATCAAGTCTTAGTATTATTCAATAAGCATTCCATACACCATAATTAGCTAAGTTCCATATTATGTCATACATATTCTATAAAAGTTCTAAACCGTAATACATATCTTTCCAGTGCCTAAATTAATACGTAACTCCTTAATCAAATACAAACTCTAATATTTAAGGTTTACATGCCATAACTAATACATAAGTTGAAATAGAAGAACTAAGTCTACCAAAATGAAGTCTTCAAGCTCTGAAGCAGGATCTCGGCTCTAATCTGCACTTACAAGTCTACAATCTAGGTGTGATTGTGTTGACCTTGATTTTAGCACCAAGTCATAGGAAGTTCTGCCACGGTTCCAATGGCTTGAGAATTAGCTCGATCGGATGCCGTTTGGGCCTTGAACCGACCTTCGGAAGCAGAAAAACTCAAAAGTCGGGTAAAAAGGGTAGAATGACTAACACACCTTATATCGACGGCCTCAAAGCTGGTATCGACTAGGCAGTTCCAGGCTATCCGGTACCGGCGGAGAGCCTCCCGATACAGGTAGGGAGCCTCTACAGCCAATAAAAGGCGCACCACCCTCATTTTCGATGCCTCTTGTTACTTGATCGAGCGCTTTTCAAGCTTCAATGACTCTAATTCTCCCTTGTGCAAACAATTCTAAGGATTTTGCTCTTTTTCCTTAATTGAGCCAAAATCCAACTTGGTACTCAAAATTCGATCTTTTCTACTTTTACATACACTGTAATCCTCCTTGGTCCAAAGCTATTATTGTGGGTCTTGTCTTATATGGCATTACCCAAGAGGGAGGGTGAATTGAGTTTTCTAAAAATTGATATTTTAAAACACATTATCAGAATTTTATAGCAGCAGAATTAGAAAGCCTTTGTGAGAGACAGTTATCAAGTTTAGAACTTCCTGACAAAGCTTATGAAATATTAGAAAATTGATTATAATTCAAATTCTAATTTTTGTTAAATATAAAAGGACAGAATAGAACTTGAAGAAATCAAAGTACAGAAATCCAGTGTTCTAATGCTTCACTAAGATAAGGCTTTTGCAAGATTAGAAACAGAAAATCATAAACAACTTTGCATTTATAAAAATATTAATAGATGTGTAAATAGAATATAATCAAGCAACACTTTAAAAAGTAAAAGAAGAATAACACAGAGATTTATATTGGTTCGACATTAACTCGCCTACATCCACTCCCCAAGACTCATCTTGAGATCCTCCACTATGTTATCTCTTTTAAAGGGTAAGGACAAATCAACAGTTATATGGAAATAGATTGAATACCTACATCTAACCTTAAACCCACTAGATTTCAAAGGTTCTAGTTAAACTCTAACCTTCTATTTTGTAGAGATCAGAAAACCCAGATCAAGACATTAAAATATCACACAAGGAAAAGGTCACTTGATAACCTTTTACTACATAGCTTCTCACCTAAGCTGTTACACATGTTTTTCATTTAAACCTCTAGTCCACAACATACTACAACAATCCATATAGACAGAGAGAAATGCAACTATAAGCATAAGAAGAATAGAAAACAGATTTAAAAATAGAAACTAAGTTCAGAACTGTTCTTCAAAAGAGATATTACAAGATTTCTTTTCTCTTAAAAATATTTCTTGAAGAATAGAGAAGAAAAGAAAACAAAGGGGGTTGAAGAGAGTGCTTTGAATGATTTAAATCTCCGAACAATGGACTCTTACTCTTACCAACTACCTTTTTGAAAGTGGAAAATGTTTTTATATAAGAGGGATGATAATCCCGTTATAAATGACGTTGGGATTTTGCTTTAATGAGTAATGAATATTTCTGATATTTTAAAATAAAGAGACAATGCATGGGTTGAGTTTAAAAGGGCTGTCAAACCATTTTTAATATTCACACACGCAAAGTTTGGAGGTGAAGGGTTTAGTTTGAAAAGCTGTGTTATAGAAACAGACAGTTGTATCAGAAACAGAACAACTTTTGCTGAAATTCATTTAATAGCTACCAAAAATGTTTTTCCCAATATCTTTTTCATTTAGGTAATCGTGAAAGGCAAGGATCTAGGCTTTTTCCTCTAGTGCATTTATTGAGAATATTTCAAAAATGATTTTAAGAGAGATAAAGGATATTTATGCTTATAATGAAATTTTCTCTCTATCCTACAATATTTCCTAAGACTTAATAAAATACTAATCACTAAAAAAAGAATCTTTATGAATCTTCATAGTCTTCAATAAAAAATTTTGGATTGTAGGAGCTTGATTTCTTCAATAACTTCAATATTAAAATTCTGCATAAAATAACTTTAGCACATATCAAAATATTATATTTAATTTGGTTTGTTTAGTCATCAAATCTTAGGATAAATTGAACCTTGAGCCAACAATCTCCCCTTTTTGATGATGACAAAACCAATAAATTTATCATGAATAATAACAAGTGCTCCTCCTAAATTTCTGCAATCTAACAAAATAGAAATTCTAAATTCAAATGTTTTCTAATTTAGCATAATTTGAACTTTTATAAATAAATAAATAAATCTCCCCTAGAATAAGTGCAATATAAGAGCTCTGGGAATTAGAAC